CCAAAAAACAACCGTACAAGAGGACGTCTACTAAAGAAAAGAACTCTATTCTAAAAAAAATAACACCAAACTGATAATTACAAACGACCTTAGAGATTGATCTCCACAAAGAAGTATTAAATCTAATAAGATCTCAAACAAACTCTACGAATCTCTCCATCTTTAAAAAATTTTATTGTTCCTCTCCAGCCAAATACACTCACAAAGTAGTCAAAAGACAAGTATGCCACAAAAAGCAATCCTTATGTCGAAAYGTAGGGGCCAATAACACCTCCTCCAACATAGGAATGCCTGATCGATGGAGCATTCTAGAATATATGAAGGTTTTCATATCTTTTATGTTACCTAAGCACATATTAAATCCATTGCAAAGACGATTTTTAGTCAAGTTAAGAAGTATTTATGCTAATTTGACAAGATGTGCAAGAGGAACTATTTGTTAATTGGACGTTGGTGAAGTAGTGAAGTGATGGGATAAAAAATAGATTAATTGGTAAGTTTTTCAAACAATAACTATTTGATTTTTCCCTTCTACAAGTTAAAAACAAATAAGTAAGCAACAATAAGGAATAAGAAACAATGATAGAAAAACTTAACACTAGAAGGATTATATTGGTTCGCTCCAGTCTTGAGACTACGTCTAGTCTTCTACAAAAGTAAATTCTACTATAGTTGAGAATATTACAATGGAGATCTTGTTCAAGATATCATTATATAACTACCATTCTTGCTTCTAAGTACACTATTAATGACTACCTAGGATTACACAGTTGAAAACACCCTCAATAAATCTACGAATATAGACTTTTTTCATACACTGCCCATAAACACTGAAGTCTCTTTTCTTTGAATTATATACAACTAAATACAAGCTCCAAATCACTCATTTACTGGGTGGATCCATAATCGTAGCACCACAGTGCTGCGGGACAGTGGCCAACACCTGAGCTCTGCCTTCTTGGCAGCTTGCCTACTACAGCCGCTCTTTTGGGTTCATAGCGCAACGTCTAGGCATTAGGCCTTGCAGCTTCGACTCTCCTATTTTAACTCCATTGATCCAACATGAAGTTCCTACTAATAAGTTAAAGCTGACTCTCTTATATTAATTCCATTGGGAAATCAATGATCTTGAATAATTTCCCCTCCTACAAGAATATCCAAACACACACCACAATATGCAAATAAGGAAGAAACGAAACTATAAAACACAAGAAACGACACAATAAAATTATATTAGTTCACCAATTAAGGGCTACGTCCAATCTTTCACTCAGATGTGGGTAATTCAGTAATATTGTCGAATTGCATTACAATAAACTCCCCCTAAAAATATCTCCAAACTCACAAAATAATCGATAACAAATTACTCAAAAAATATCGATCTAGATCTGTTCTTTTTGTGTTGCTAACACTTGAACCGCCTCCTCTTTTAACGCCACAAAAATCTCCCAAAATGACTGCCAAAAAACTCCCACGACTTCCCACTTTTTTGGTTCATCACAACACCCCTAACACGAAGTAAAAAAAGTATATAAATCTGAGTGGCAAAGAGAAACCTAAAAAATTGGCCCATTAAATTTATTTATTTATTTTATTTTGTATCCAAAATCTCAATACATTAACTATTTGACTACTTAATTTTTTTGTATTGGATAAACTTTAAGGAACTTCCTTTCCAAAAAGGGTAACATTTTGTAACACTTGCCTCTGCTTGGAAAACAAAATATGCAATGAAAAAGACAACTTGGAAAGCAGATTTATTAGACAGAATTTTGAGGACGAAATTCTCCAAATAAAACAATATTTTAAAACACCCTTCTTCTATTTTTTCAAAGAAAAAAAAAGAATAAAAATATAAGAATGGGTGCTTGCCAACTGGACAATACGTGGAAACGAAAAGAAACTAAATTAAAAATTAAAATGGCAAAAATAGATGCAAAGACACCTGGAAGTAAAGATAGGACAAGGAGAGAGAGGAAGAAAATGAGAAAGAGGAGGGAAATGAGAGATGAAACCAAGATGGAGAAGGAGAAAAGGAGAGAAAGGATCCAAAAGTTGCGGAAATTCGTCAGAAGAAAAATCATGGTTAATAACGGAAAGAAAAATCAAATCTTGTCCTTACCGTCCTTACAATTTATTATATTTTTTAAAAAAATATTTACTTTTATATTTCTCTTAATTGTCAAATATTTAATATTGATGAGAACAAAATTCCGTTCAGGAACCATGTATTTTTTCTAAGGAAAATAGATCTTACAGAAACCAAACCAAAACAGATGCTACACTAATACACTTTAAAATTCTCCATTCTCCAATGATGATGCTCAAAAGGGAAGGCATAAATAGACAAAACTTAATTGACACACCCATAAACAACATCAATAAGAGGCTTTAACAACTATCATATATATACATCGGCAAAAACTATGGAATTGCTTATTATGGGAGTTCAAATAAAATTAGCTGCCTTTCCCTATAAAACCAGGCAACTTCGCTTGATTATGAAAAAGCAACATATGAGGCTATACGTACCATTTATAGCACCACAACAGAGCGGGACGGGATCGTCACTCTAGATTCCTTTTCTATCCCTGCCCCCACCACCGACCCCGACCCC